AATAGTTTATGCTGATGAGACTAGTTTATGCCGAAGACGCTCTTCCTCAAAGAACTCATGGTTTGAAGTGGAAGGTCCACTACAGCAACATACCTCCGTTTCGATCGATGGGCAACTCCGAATTAATGCTCAACTCTACCATGACGAATTTTGTAATTGATGAGCATTTTGAAAGGCATTACTGCGAGATTGTATGCAGCACACGTCTCGAGTGAACATCCACCGCAAAGGATTGGGCTCTGCACACTCTGAAGCCCTGCCTCTGCCAATACGCTTTGAAATTATGGTCACACAGTTCTTCTCACAGAATAGTCCTATCGTATTCGCTAACAAAAATTTATCACTTTTACTGCCAAGCCGCAAATAATAGCTATCTATGATAAAATGCGATCTCGATAATAACTTACCCTAGCCTTTTCTATTGCACGTGGAGGTAACAATAGTTGTGGGAACGCATACATTGCTCCCTGGACCTCATTGCAAAGAATTCCGTCAATGCTTCCGTAAGCCTGTTTCACCAAAGTAGCTCTTTCCTTGAGTGAATTGAGAACTGCGGTTTTTTCCTAAGAAAAAAATATTGCGCGAGTAGAGCTAATGTTGGCAGCTCTCACAAACCTTCAACCATAAATCATATGATGGCTCTCCTGGTTTTGGTGGATTAACTAGGGCATCCATCATGACCTAGAAAACGGAATTTGTATATCTGCGTCCTCTATTCAACAATTAAGCGAAAAAGCATTGTCTGGCAGAAACTCACTTGCCCAAGAATAGCTGAACACAACTTCGCGGATATCATCTTTTTGAATAGCACGTACACTTCAGGATCTAGATTGAAAAACTCTACGTAACCGCCTCGCATTCCGCATTCACCCATATAACCCTTTGATACCGAGTGGAACGATGCCAATTCCATCCTGAAATTCTACTTTAGGATTGCTAGGAATGATAAGAGCAGTTGTAATTGCTTGGTCTAAAAATTTAGGATAAGCAATTTCGAATCCGAAGCAATCTTATAATTTATTTACCATTTCCTTATTATTTATTTATGACGCTACATAAGGCATACGCAAGAAAGCAACAACAGCAGCACATTTATTCTTCCTTATGATCCTCTACCAAAAGCTACCTGTCGAAGACGGCTCAACTAATGAATTTGTTTTGATAAAACATTTATGTCCAATAAAGCAGTCGACTGAGAACTCCATATGAATGATAGGCTTGTCCACGAAAATAGGTTGTGTCCACGTTTTCTTCCAAACTTTTACCCTTTGCAAAGCCGTTTTGCCATATTTGAGCGAGCGCTTCCCTGCGGAAAGACGACTTTCTACTAAAAACGAAGACCTACCCAGTCGCACTAACATAGGATGCGGACTTCACGATGCAATCGAGAGTAGGCGGGGCGCGAATGTTGGCGTGACAGGGGCGTGGCGCGATTATGAAATTATCGGGAGACGGAGTTCCCACCAATAATGCTTCTTTGCAATCACAGAAAAGTAATAGGTGCACTAACATAATAAAATGCAGACAAATGTAGACAAGTGACGCTGGTTGGATAACCAAAAGCAGACACAATCGAGACAAGTATGATGGTTTGTAACCAAAGTGAGTAGGAATTTCCAAGAACGCATCTTCAGGGCTTAGAAAGCATTCACCTGCCTCGTTGCTCGCCAAATGTGCGAGTACCGAAAATTCCAGCACAGCGACACGCTGGGCGCACGGCCCGCAATTGTATTGTCGGTTGCTGGCTCCGCTAGCTATATCGATATTCCCATTCCTAAGGACATTTGGCTAATCTTATAATTCCCAGGGCCACCAAGTCTTCCCACATGTATTTTCCGTACTATCGAAGTTTCGTGACAGACAGGCAAGATTAGAGATTTTCACATTGATAAAAGGGGTAGGCATAATCAAAAAGCCCCGTCGATTAAAACAAAGTGAAGTCGACGATTTGAAGTGTAGTATAATAGAAAAAGCTCAAATGTAGCCGTGATTGAAATGTACTTGTTGTACGGTGCACCCATTTCGTTGATAACTTTCTTGAACGAATAGAATTTCGATCCTGGTGCGTAAACGTTATCCTAAACACGACATTGTATGACCACTGAACGATCAATGGACGTTATGGGCATACCTGATACACTTCGTCAGCCATAAGGAAAAGGTTATGTCGGTGAGCAAACTTGATGATAGTTTCAATATTTTCACGTGATAGCACCTGCACAATGTTCAATATATTAGCTGCGCATCTGCTGCTGGATAACACATTCCTTTTCATCACTACAGCAACAATGTATAAAAATCTGCAACACTTAATACAAGGAAAACCTTGCCTGTCCAGTAGGGTTTCCAGGGTTAATAACGCATAAAACACGAGTATCATACTTCTTGAGGCTTTCTTGATAAGATCGTTCCAACTCGCTCTCCTCCAGGCTCCAGTTCGTCTCTTCGTGCAAAAAGTACCCTACCTGGCAAATAACGACACGTAGAAGACAAGCAATCGTAAAGTGTGTCCAAAATCAAACATGCTAGTTGATCGAAAAAAAAACCAGGTCTCCAACTTCATTCAAACTTGTTAAACAAGACCTCTTTCATTGGCTCCCCACGAATCTACAAAAAACCAGGCCATGTAAAGAATTGGGATAGAAAACCGCAGTTCCCCTACCGTTCCCCTTACCCTACCCCTACTAAATTGATGTACGAAAGGAAAAAAGAAGTAATGTTACTGTGAATATGACGTACCTGCCCGAGGCCAAACTCCTCGACCGTTGCAGAATAGAGGGGATATTGCGGTATGGGGATCATTATTCCGGTTTGTTTCTGCGCCCCACGTCGGATAAACATTTTGAGAACGTTACGAATAGCTTCAGAAGCGCCACCGGAGAGAATCACATTTTCATAGTCACACGGGACACCGTCACGTTTCTGAAACAATCAATATACACTGGACATTATTGAAAGCTCCAAGCTTTTGAAGCAATAAGACCTACCGAGATAAATTCGGCTACATGCTTTCGGATAATGTCAATTCCTGTGCTCTGGCTGTAAGCGCCGCAGCTGTTACCTCCGCAACCGCAAAGGATAGCCTAAATGAAGTAAATTAATACTGCTGTCACAAGTTTACTACAAGCTTAATTAAAGTTATGTAATCAGCAGTAGAATACCTTACCTTAGCATGCTCAATCACATCAGAAGGAAAGTTTGCTGTCTCCATCAATGACGGATTTGCAAGGCAAGCTACCAACTGGAATAATGCTATGATTTGAAAAATTCATATCACTCTTTGCTTCTTTATAAACAAGTTTACCCGTATACCCCCATAATTTGACATACGTGAAGCTCCGCGCACAAAAAGCGCCGAGTTTCACACATGTCAAACGCATGGGAGTATATCTGTGCTGATGTTCAGCACAGTCTTCAAATGACATTACCGAAGTGAGCTAACCTTTGTAAACAATTAAACAACCTGGAAACGATGATCCTC